TGGTGGTCACCACCTATAGAACGTCATAGTTATAATAGGAAAGACGCTCACAGCATTCTGGTAACACTGTATTATCTACAAGCTAGTTATGCATATCTGGGAAAGGGGATCGTCCACGGATGTCCCTCGCACTGCCACTGCACTGCTGTGCTGTAATCTAACTTTATTGCACTTAATGGAACATGAGACCCATGGGGGAAATTTGTTGTGAGCAGGTTCACCAAACAAACTATTTGTTGGAGCAGGTTCACCAAACAAAAAATCCTATTTGTTAAATCTTTGGTGTCTTAAGCAAACAAACGGCTGCGACTGATCCCATAGGGTGGCATTTGCATTAACTACTCTTAAGGTGTTATCTTTATTCCTCAGGATCACCGAAGAACGCCAAAATATGCTAAAATGCGATTTCGTGTTTTATGTCGCCTAAACTGGCAAAAAATCAGAATCGGCGATGGTCAGTGACCTTGACATTTCGCTCACTTAAAAAAATGTTACGTGCAACATGTCACGGGAAGGTGCTAATTGATTAGACTAACTTCCCATTAAAATAGCAACTTCGAAAACCCTATAGTTTCGGCGGAATCAACTTGGGTGTGTCAATAGCCTGCGGCCAAGAAAAAACGAGTTAACTGTTTAGAGCGCATAAACCAAGGAAATATGGACCGTCAGTGCAAGCGAGGAAATGGCATGGAACAGTTTTGATAATTTACTGCAGGATATCCCTGCTTCTCGGCGTGAATTTGCTTCTCTGCGTCAAGTGTTTGCAATTGTATGCCTATAAAATAAGCAAACTTGACATCACGAAACGTATCCACATACCTGCCTTTCTTTACACTACTTTTTCTGGCTGCCCACATCACTCCTCCTAATGAAAGCTTGACAGTAATTGGACATTTGTGTTTTCGGAAACCTCGATTCAAACTTAACTAGTCACGGATATGTAATTATAGTTAAAAATTTGCACTCGGAACGTTAGGTTGCTTTCATCTCGGTGAATCAAATTTAAGTGATATATATGCCTCAGCAAAAGCAGTAGCGTCCTATGAAGTAACATGTTAACCAGGGGAGTCGAAAAGGTGTCGAGCGCCGTTGCCCGGAATTGAACCGCTAAACATCAGGGCCGCTCCCAATCTTATCCCGCTCGGCCACCAAGCCACGAACGACCGTTGGTGCAAATTTCTTTTGAGCAGCTGAGCCTCGTAAGCCCTGGTTGTATGTTTCGGTATGGATCACGTGACTAGGACCAGCCAATCATTTGCTTGAGTTTGGCTTGTGCATGAATCGACTTCCGAATCCGGACCCAAGAGAATTCATGACCAGTATTCGCCGAATAGCGGTTCACCGAGGCGCTTCCGCAGGGCGTAAAAATTTCCGGAATACTGTCCCCGCACACACTTTATGTACGAAGCGCTGTACATGCATGTTTGAGCGGATTTTGGATGTTAATTCTCGCTGTACACCTTTTGTGGTTGTTTTGACTGTAATACCTGAATGTCTGGAAGCATCTAGAATTTGACCCTTCGCTAACGCCTAAGGTCACTGCCTACGAGTACTAGGGGTTGACCAGCTGTCAGCATGACAATGTTCCTATCCAGTCTGGGGGCCTGTTTCATTCCATTGTGCGTGCGGTCCTTCAGGACTTTAAACCCTCCGGGTTATACATTCCTAGTCTGTCACGTTCTGACAACTTCGTTACTCAGCCCCATCTGAATACTAACATTACCTCTCACTGTAGCATCAGTACCGGCGATACATGACTCTAGGACACAAGAGGGATATTGTTGGCAATGCTCATCCCTTAAAGCCCTCAGTGACTTTGGATAGCCGGCGAATACATCGAACTCCAAACCGGTGGAATCAGCCTTGTGTACTTGCAACACTTACAGTCATCAGTGCAACTCTTCAATCCTTATCAGTAGTAGTCCTGTCATCCGGTAGTTGCACACTGCGTCGAACATTACTATTATGTCGGAGGATACCTGGCACATGCTCGGGCGAACCTCATTCTTACGGCCCTCCAGAACTACTATCGGTGCGTATGGCGGTGAGTTGTTATTTTTCGGCGGACTGTCATGCTGTCTTGTTCAGGGGACTGAACTCCACCGGGTCTCGCTGCATGACGTTCACTGAAATTAACCTGAATCACACAACTTGTTCGACCGTTTGCATTTGGTTATTTTCCCGATTTATTCCGTCCTCACTGTAGTCAATTCATTAGTTGTGGGTACATCCGGTTCCGGCGGCGCTATTGAGCGCCTCGCTGGTGTAGTTCAACTCGGCTCCGGACGATGTTCACAAAGCAAACAATGTACCGTCCTCGACCAGTTGTCAACTCAGTAACTCGCCCTGGGAGATCAGTTCCGCATGCCGCTCCGTCGAAGGTCTGCACTGAAATCTATTATCTTATGCAACAAGGCCTTCTCTTTCCCGCCTCGTACTCCGCGAGGAAGGCATCAATCATCGACGTGAAGAAGCCAAATGGGTCGATTCACATTCATGCCGATTGATTAGCAATCTCGCCGCAGCGTCTTGCACAACCGCCACCCGAAGCTAAAACCGATAACTTGCTACGAGCGTGAATATCGTCAGTTACTTCACCAAAACTCAACCTGACGGTGCTGTGCCATAATTCAGATCCTTCAAGAATAGCAATACGCGCCATTGGTGAATATAAACAATTGCCATCCGGCTTCAAGACGTCGACCGTGGTCTGCCGTTGGTTCACGGATAAGGATCTTCTGGCATAACGAGCCTCCGCTTCCTCCCTCAAAAGTATCAGTTCGTGAATGCTATCGAGCATCTCGGTTTTATTTTCAATGCCCCCTTCCGACACATCAAGCAAGTGCGGATTATTCAGGCCATGCCGGCTCACGTAAGTCTCCTGCACTCTCCTATTTTGGTTGTTATTGGCTGACATTAAGCATTTCTCTGTGCAAAGCACAGTGTCCGACTTCTGTTTAATAAGCCTTCGGAAAAATGTGTCGCAGGTTAATTTTGGGGATTGTGAACCTGCCGTCAGCTGAAATCCATAATAAGCTCTGAACTTTAGGGACGCTTTCGGATCTCAATCACGCGAGTTTTGTTGTAGTGGATCTTCTGTTATTTATCATATTTCGGGGATGGAAATAATAAGTCTGCCATGAGTGCGCCCACTTTGACCAGAGGAACCACGCTATGGGTAAACTGTGAAGAGAGCTATATGGGTGGATTTTGCCGTTATCAAGTTAATCTACGGCCATCGACTTACTACGCTAACCGACCACAAACCCTTAATTTTCGTTTTCGGCCTAAAATCTGACGTGCTTACTCATTCGGTGGAGCATTTTCAAAGCCGTACGCTCATCCTTATTGGTTAATATTCCGTCACTGTCGTCGCACAGATAACTTTGGCGGAGCTGGTGCACCGTCCAGCTTGATCGTAGGTCGCACCACCTCACAAGAAGACCCCATGATGTCTGTGCTGCACATAGATGACCGCACAGGCCAGCAGCTGCTGGAACCACGTCCGTACCCCGCCAGGGCTTAGCCGGATGTCAAGTATGGGACATCAATTTATGAGACATTGCGACAGACGACCCAGTTCACCAGATCACTAGGAATTTCTATGGCTAATGATGCCCGACCGCTTTTCCGACCTTGAGATTTCTGTCGAACTTGTCCGAACTTTTCTTCAAAAATCGTGTTTTTTGGAAAGCTGCGTGTCTGCGGAGTATCTCATGGTTCGCCATATAAGGGCAATTGCCCGTAGTTTGACCTTCTGGTCGCACATGAATCGAGATATCGCGGAGTACTTCGGGTTCCGTTGGCTATTTTGACAGACAACAAACAACCATCCACATTTGTCACCCGGTGCTTAGCCTCAGCCAAAGTAAACAGATCTAGTTGCGTGTGAATACGTCGTTATAACACTTCTTGCGAAACGCTTCTTTAACTAGCCGCGACAGTTGGAATACTAACAACGATCAACACCCTGCTGGCGCTGTCTCAGATCTGCGGTAACACGGTCCTTCGAAGACCCTAGTGTCCTACGATAAATAACACTTCATTTCTAGTTACATCCAAGAGTTTTATAGAAGAAGTTCCCCCATTCATATACGCTGGCAACCGTATCATATGCAAACGGCTAAGCATAAGTCCAGGCAGGAGCAACTGAAATCCTGTGGACAGAAGAAATCCGTCGGATTTTTTCAGAGATTTTCCCAATTTGAAGCCTAATAGAAATGACACTCAATCGTATCAAAATTTTACCGACGAAGACCTGATGTGCCGTAAGTTGCAGACAATCAGTCCGCAGTGTTAGACCAAAATTGTCTCAGAGGTGGTTGGTGTCGGGTGAAAAATTTGCTCGTAGTTGTAATCGCGTCCTCGAAGGGGCAAGAGGTGAAGATCGATGGTAGGAAAAAAATAGTCACCAGAATGCCATCAGAGTGGGAATATCATTGGCATGCCATCCTTTCACCGACATACCTCGGTTTCTAGCAATCCCGTAATGACCATCGAAGATGCGGCAACCTACCATGGAATGCGCGTTCTTGTGTCGGCTGGACTTTGGTCAGACAACAGGATCGACATAGGTAGAGCCAGACCGACTTAGAGTCGCGGGTAATTTAGATTCAGTTGGAGGATCATAGGAGCGCGAACCGGGGACCATCCAGAATGAATGACGGCCATGAGCCGCGTTTGTAGCGTCTACTGCCGAGGTCTGAACCTTAAGAAAAGGGGTAATGGGAAGGGAAATGAGTGAAAGGAACGGCGTCTGGTGAGTTCCCGGGTGGCATCAGATAATTCGGTGTCCATTAGAAAAATGATCTAAAGTGTATGGCATCATTTTAAACGAATCTACGTAAGGATAGTTTTTTGTTGGATGACCAATGATCCAGGGACTAACTGAGGTTGACGGTGTAGTAGGTGGACACAACAAATCTTCATTAGTGGGCTTCTACTTGGCCTATATGTAGTGCATCCAGACAGTGATGCAAGACAACAGCATTTGTGATAGGAGCTGTGTCTCCCCTTTGTACTGGGCGTCAGTTGATCAGAAGGTGCAAGGTTAGGGCAAGTGTAGCTGAATAAGACTGAGGCTCAGCCATCGGGAAAGCAAGCTAGAAGGTTGCCCGTTGGACCAGCCAGTGTGGGTGATGACAGGATGAGTTAGACCAGGGAGCTGTAGTGTTTTTAAACTCATCCGATAATATCCAATAACCGGGTCTCCGTTATGCAAAATGCGTGGGGTGTATTGTGAAGAAGGGTAACAGACGTTATGATCGGCTGAGCAAAGGCTCCCGAAATAATGGATAAAACTGTGGCGTAACTGGAAGCTACTACGTGAATTAAACGGAAAGTAAGAGTATGGTTTGCCAGCAACTGAGTCCTGGCTGTTAGCTCCAAGCAACGAAAGGTGCATGGTGAAAACAGCAAATAGACGCAATCCGTGACTGCTTGTGTTCAGGAAATAACCTCTTTATACTTTTATATTTACGCGATGACTTCATGAAAATAGCGGGAAAAGTTGTGTGTTGTGCCTGGTTGATGGTATCGACTTGTGTTGGTGCAACCCAAACTAATTCGAAGTGACAACGCCTTCCACGTGGATATTATATTTGAGCCTCACTGAGCATCCTCAGGCCATCCTATGCATTTTTTTGAAAATGAGGCAAATGGATAGTTGTCTTCCACTTGTATTTCGTGGTGATGCCAAATAACTGACAGCCGGGACGCAATGAGCATAACAGTCAGTGATGAACTGACTTGACCTCCACTGCAACCGGCAGCTCTACTTTCTTGTTTTGTGTCGTCTTGGGAATATGCGTGAGAACGGTATCCAAGAGCGGCAAGCAGGATGCCGGCGGGAAGTTGCAATGGATAGTTGTCTTCCACTTGTATTTCGTGGTGATGCCAAATAACTGACAGCCGGGACGCAATGAGCATAACAGTCAGTGATGAACTGACTTGACCTCCACTGCAACCGGCAGCTCTACTTTCTTGTTTTGTGTCGTCTTGGGAATATGCGTGAGAACGGTATCCAAGAGCGGCAAGCAGGGTGCCGGCCGGGAAGTTGCTGCATGAACCATATGTACGCAATCCCTCAAGCTTTGAAGCAACAGCCAGCCGATGGGCACTCTACATGCTTTTTTTCTTCAGTTTTATATTTACGCATCCGGCATCCTTGCAAACGTTAATGATGGTGTTGCTTCAAGATTACGGTGAATAATCCGGTCGATGTTGATCCGTCGGCTGAAGAAACCAACCAGAAGCCAAAGATTTCTCAGATAATTCTCCTAGGTAAATAGAATAAATAGGATCTTTTCCGAAACATGCGCCGCCATGTCTGATAAAGACGAGACCACATATCCTTAATATGTTTGTTCCGCCTGCTACAGTTTGTGGGCCCGAATCCCCAGTCAAATATTGAGGGTGGTCGGATAATCAGTTTGCTGCAGTCCGGTCGACCTAGTTTTTTGACGGAAATCAAAATCGAACAGCTGTGCTGTAAATGCGGCAACAATGACGGAGAACGGTGGCTAAATGAATCACTAAGCTGTGCCCGCCTCTGTCCACAAATACTTGGTCTTTATCCAATGGAACGGTATCTGTAAACTTGAATGAGTTCACCGACCACAGTAGTCATACTTTGTCGCTTGATCACAAACTCTTCCGCTCCCGGCTGCTTCCACACAACACAAGCACGAACAAATTGAACTCATTGAGTTAAGCAGTTCTATGGTATACCAATTGCATAGCTAAACATAAGGTCTGAAGTCTGAGAAGATACTCGATCGCGGTGGTGTACCTTCTTTTTAAAAGCATTAGGTGAACCTCGTCCTTATTATTCTTATGTTAAGAAACCCAGCCAATGCTCCGGGAATACAGATGTTCAATCTCTGAGGTTCCATACATCCAGTGCGTCTAAGGGCAATGTCAAATGCGGCCCTCGGCCTCCTCCGAGACAAGCCCGTTGTAATTAACTTGGCTCTTTGTTCGGATTTGACCAACTCATTGGGCCTTACGTTTGTGCACCCTGCAAAGCCCAACTCTTGGTAATTGATCAGGTGGCTTTTGATCTGTTCGCCGAGCTTGGCAATTGAGTTGCAAACGTTTCGTCACTATTCGAGGAGACATCACATTACCATATATAAAAAACATTTCGGAGATGACCGCCAGGATACTACGACAGCACGCCATAAAAGTGGCCCACAGACCGACTGACACGCTGCGGAAAGTACTATCAAAACCAAAGGGGACACTCAATGCGATGGAAAAGACAAACGTAATCTACAAAATTCAATGCAACGATTGTGAAAATCACTACGTGGGACAAACAGGGAGGAAACTGTCAACCAGAATCACCGAACACACACTCGCCACCAGGAGTCATGACCAACTCTTATCTCTGCACACGAAGATGGGGAAGGACACCATTTCGATTGGAATAACGTCAGGATACTGGGCCAGGCAAGAACAAAGAAAGAGCGCGAGGTTGTGGAGGCGTGGTACTCCACTGATGGAGCAATAAACAGGCGCATTGAGATTGGTCCTGCCTACCAGCCTCTGAGGACAAAGGAAATCCAGAACCACAGAACCCAAGGCCGAACAAGGACTGAAAGAAGAAATCAATAGAACAGCAAGCTACTAAAAATAGGAGGCACGTCAAAAACCAACAGAGAAGCCGACCACGACGCAATACAGATCGAGAACGGGTCAATCAGAATTCAGGTTACAGCGAAAAGGCTGCTCTTTGTAGACTATATAAACGCAGGCACGAAGAGAGGAACTACCCAACCAACAGCGCACTGAAGATGTCTCCTCGAATAGTGACGAAACGTTTGCAACTCAATTGCCAAGCTCGGCGAACAGATCAACAGCCACCTGATCAATTACCAACTAATACACCCGAGCTACCAATATTCCAACACATTACCAAGCCTATCTGTTTCTGTCCAGCTTGTGCTCTACCCTGTGCGTTCGGACTAAGCTGCACTCACAGGGGGCTTTTCCACTGACCTCGCTCCAACAAGAACACCAATGAGTATGCACAGGTTCGCCATGTTTCTAATGCTCAATCTAACGTATTCCCCTATTGCGAATGCTTCTACTTTGTCGGACCCGCTCATTTGCTTTTGAGCCGGGCTATACAGCCAATTGTCCAAGGTCAGTGTGGCATACGGCATCCGTCACTTTGATTAGTATGTAAGTGTCGGTGATGTACAACCTCAATTACTGGGCCTCAGCTCATGAATTTTCTTTCTGTCTTCTATACACAGACGTTGTGAACCCCTGTCCACTTTTGGAGAATCACTGTCCACTGGTGTTCCCATAGCGTGTATACCACACGCACATTTTTGACCAAATCGACCGACTGGATCACTCCTTCATCAACTCAGTTGTTTTGGCTACGCATTTTCCGCAATTTGCAGTTTTCCTTTCACATAAATGACAGGATGCCTCAGTTTTGCCTTATTCGGTCCTGCTGTTGCCTGACTTCTTCACGGGACGAAGCACAAAGAAACGCTTGCTGAAGTCACTATGTACATGTTAGCCTGGATACAGAACCAGCCCGGCTGAATATTCCAGCTTTTGAGATCCGGCTGCAAGTGGCATCTTTTAACCGGTGACTTGGTGGAATAATATGACACTTAAGTATTTTGCTATGACTAGCCCGGTTCCATTGTTCCTAAATGGACAATATACGCCACCCAAATTCTTCTTTACTTCCGCAGATTATTCCAGCCCAAAAGACTCCTACAGTTGGATCTCTTCCGCTTAGAAAACAGAAGGCCGCAATATTGGCTCATATACAGAGGGGATATACTTTATTCCGAAGACCATGACCAAAATTTCACCCTGTTTCTCCTCGTCCGGGATGGCGAAATCAAACGACTTAAGTGGGATTATACCTAGTTATAATCTGCCAGCCAAATGTATGATTTTATCCTCCACCGGTGTTCTGTTCCACGCTGCAAGTCGTTCGCATCCCATTTCCCTTTAATACTCAACCCATTCCATAAAACAAGTGGGTTTTTAATATCCCACAGGATGAAGGCAGCATTAAGAGTGTGAAAATCTACCAAAAGTGCCGAAACTCATCCAACCCCCTTCTTTTTTTTTAGGAGACAGTCTCCACAAATCTGCTGAACCCAGCCTAAGATCACCTAGCCCCTAAACCTGTGTGGCCCGATGAACCTGTTGAACTAAATGTGTTCGGTTTTACTAACTTGAGCGTTTCTCAAGGCGTTTTACGAAGTTGATGAGGTGGCAGCTATGAACATATTCAGGTTCTTGGGCGATGCATCGCACTTCGTAGCGATAATAATTCTTCTATTAAAAATATGGAAGACTCGATCGTGTGCGGGTGAGCTCCTAGCATCTATGTTCATAAGCTTCAGGCCTATCCGGTCGTAGTCAGGTCCTATTTGCGTTGGTGTTCACAACTCGTTACCTTGACCTCTTCACTACTTTCGTTTCGGTGTACAATTCGGTTGCGAAAGTGGTTTTTATCATCTCTTCATATATTACGGTGTTTCTGATGTATCGGAAGTTCAAGGCTACGTACGACAGTAACCATGACACTTTTCGTTTGGAGTTTCTCGTTGTCCCATGTGCTCTTCTTGCGCTTTTGGTAAACGAACGTTTCACTATTCTGGAAGTAAGTGGTCCATATTCGTTCGAGCTATTTTCCAGGTCCTTTGGGCATTTTCCATATATTTAGAGGCTGTGGCGATACTTCCACAACTATTCCTAATTAGTAAAACCGGTGAGGCGGAAACGATAACTTCACACTATCTGTTCGCACTGGGTTCTTACCGAGCCTTGTATATATTGAACTGGATATACCGGTACTTCGTTGAGCGCCACCTGGACATGATAGCCATTGTTTCGGGTGTGGTGCAAACACTCCTCTATTGTGATTTCTTCTATTTGTATATCACTAGAGGTATGTCTCTTCCTCGTGTCATTTATTGGAATTTTAGTTGTGAAGGGCAAGACGCTCGCAATGCCAGCCTGAGAAGGGCAGATTCTGCTGTACACGAACTTCTGGAATCACCTGAATGGATACCCGCTTATGTATCAGAAACTCATTCTTTTTGCGGCATTTTGCGCTCCACTATGGTTTTATCCTTCTCTATTTGTGAATTTAATGTGCTGAATCCAATATATTCGGCACAAAGATTGATACTTGTTATCATTAGAACCTGTCAGAAGGGGCACGTTGCTATCCATAATGGAAACAAGCGGAATTGTATGGTCAAGTGTGAGTCCCAGTTACGGTGTTCATTAGGAGTTTCCGGCTGTTAACCACTAATGGATATTATGAAAGTTCTCGAAATTTCCCCACTGTACCTAGCCCCCTAATTTGACCAAGTGTTGATTCAGTGTTAACGACAATTTCGAAAGACCATTATTGTCATTCCTTTCTGTATGCGTTTGCGCGAGATGCGATCTTCACACGGTCGTCGACATTTGAGTGAGAACAAGGCATCCCATCGGATATGCGGAACAGTTTCAGAGGCACGCTGCTCACATGCCAGTGTGAGTGACCGTGATGGCAGCCAGTCGACCGTGATCATGAATCTCTTGCCATTCGTGTTTAAGAAGATTTGCATACTGCGGATGATCGGCTTTTCATATGGCGCAAGGTTCTTGCAGGAATACTTGCTTGTCGAGGCGCATAATGATGCTTGTTTGGCGCAGAACACGATTCGCCCCGCCATTTGCAGCAATGCCGGTACAGAACTGATGCCGTACATTGGTGACAGTTTACCTAGACAAATCCAATCAATGGAAATTGTGGAAGAATGTGATGCTAAATTGCCACAATTATACCCACACCTCGAACAATCCATCAGAGAACGGAAACGGCACAAACGCAGTTGATGTCGATTTAGCACTTCACTCAAACACGGACGGTCTCGTAGAATTCACCCTTGAAGGAGACTGGAATTTGTGAGCCATTGTTGATTTACTACCAGTTTATACACTGTCCACTTCCAGGCTCCATTACGAATTAGGCACGTTACCGGTAATTTAGCACGCGTAACACGTGGACTAACCATCGCGCTGGATCTACGCATCAACAGTGGTCCCCGTCGTTTCGCCTCATTGTGCAATAAATTGTGCTTGACGGTCCCAAAGTTACTCATAACGTTAGTGGTGAAAAATAAGATTCCAGCTTTAGCGTCATTTTGGTGCATAGCTGTCATGCAGTCCAAAAAAATGTTAAGGCTGTTCGGTCACCCATGTCTTCAGAGCACTGCTAGAGTCTATCGGGCACACCGGATCGGTATTGCTGAGGTATGTCGAATGGTTTCCGTGCAATAGATGAACTGATCAAACCAGAGATCAAGCGTTGAATTGACAGCGAATTATGGACAGAGACTTGGAGACGCGACACCAATGGTTAGAGGCATTGGCAGACATGCCTTAGTTACGCGCTTTATGGCGCTCATGAATCCAACTGGTTAACCCCAATACATAACTTCCCCTCTCTATCTCCCCAAAAATAGTCCACGAACACCTCTGTATTATAACATCTATTATATTAGCTACTGTCTTGAGTGCATTGCTGTCTGTCTCTTCCCGTCCAGATCGGCAGCTGTAACTAATGTACAACAAGCACACGGTTTTTACAGCTGGTGATGATGAGTTCGAAGGAATTACGAGGGCGGAGATACTGCCATGCTTTGCGGCCCATGACAGGACCAGTTGAGGAGCCAGTGTCGGGTGCAAGCCTCGGGTCTTATGGCCAGTAGCTTGATGCCCTAACTACAGCTATCTTGAGCTCACGGATAGTAAAGCACCTGAAGATGTTTCAGGTTTTCCGGCAGAACAGACTAGACTTCGCATCCGTACAGCAGCAGCTAGTACTGTAATTAGCTCGTTGTTTTGTCTTTTAAATGCCACACGCAGTACCGTCCTTGTCTTTGGGGTTCGCGTGTTGACTTCATCTACCTTATAACTAGAGATAATTCAACCTCCGACATGTTACTCTGGTCGCTTGAATGATTGGAGGCATGGTCGATAACTGTTCTGTGGAATGACCCGGCTCAGTCCAGTTTTTCAGTTGACAAACCATGCACTGAGGTGCAGTGGTTCCAGCTGCTACAGTTTATTTCACTGAGGATAGGCAGAGTAAGGGAATGAGAACCACGTTGGAGGGGATGTGCCCTTCATTCACTTCAAATGCTTCTGCTTATCTGATAAGGCAGGCAATGAGAGGCACGCACTGGAGGCGATAGCTCAGATACAAGAGCACCATTGGCTGCGTGACATCCATGGCTGTCAGGATCACTAACTATCGTTTCGTCTCGTCTCGCGGTCCCCATCGGGGAAGACGACAGTTACCAATGCGACTGAGGTGGCCCATGAGAGTTTTCATGCTTCTTTGCCAAGCCATGGACTGACCGTCTCTGGATCCGATGAGGTATTGCCTAACCGGTGTAACCTGTATGCAGCTGATCTATCAAGGGAGAATGAACTTTCACTAAAATTAACTGACGTTCCTCAGCGTTACTGATCTACTATTCCAACGCCAATATTCGGAGGCACCGGGGCGAGATAGATCAAGTAGTTGGAGCGCGAATTTACTGACCGAAGGTCCGTGGTTCGAACCCGACCTCTGCCTCTCTGTGTCCCCTGCCTAGGCTTGGGTGACCTGGCAGTATCCCAGCCCTCGTGCTTACTTCAGGTGGAATGGCAGTTAGGTAATGAAAGAGTGCTACAGCTGAACGAACTCATCTAACACATCGACCATCCTGCTTGAGGTGAGGTTTGGATTTAATCCCACTGAATCGTGCTGTATCACTTTGCAAATTACAACTGCGAAGCGCATACCAAACCGTGCAGCATTTAGGTTATTTAAAATGGTTTGTATTGCTCAAGGGTCTGGTCCAAGGAGAGCGGTATCGTTGCCTTGCTCAATGTTCGTGAACGAACGTCGTGGGAGCATTTTGGTCGGCGATCTGCCGGAGGCGGTTAAAGATGATTTAAGGAGCACATCAATAAAGAAAGTTGATGTGAAAGGACAATAGAGGACAATTGGCTGACACCACTGGACACAGTGAACTCAGGAGAGACGTACGCTTTCACGGGAGGTGGTATGTAGGACTTCTATGAAATACAAGAGACTTCATCTTCAGATACTGCCACAGTTTCTGATGGTCAACGAAGTCAAAAGCAGATTTGAGACCTAGAGAGGAGATCGTTGTTTGTAGTGTTCCAGCACTTGTCGCAAAGTCAAGAAATTATCGATGCAACGCCAGTCGGCGAAATCCAGCTTTATTCTCGCGAAGCTGAATGTTCCGTTGATGGACTAACCTTAGTAGCGTAGTACCAGAGAACACCTTGGAAGCCATGACCAGTAGGCTGATGCCCCGGTTGTTTTCGGTTGTTGTCCTAGCATCATTTTTGAACGTGGGAATCACCCTCCAGGTGCTCCAACCTGTCAGTATTCTTCCCCTACGTCCGGACACTATTCCAGCCCACGTACATACATGACATGTACAACTAACGATATTCTCGTACTGAATCTGCCGTCGCATGGTGCCACCAACCGGGTCGCCAGACTTGCTGCATACAACAGAGCGAGTAAGCGAAAATATGCTACTGCTGACGCCTCCCTTCTTGCACTTTCACATTCTCCCTCTTTTACCTTACCCCACCCAAATTTGAATGCTTTCCGCAGGTCCCAGCACTATAACTGACCGTTTTGTTTGCCATGCATCATACTCAGCTGCAGGTTCTGTAAGTCCAAGTTCATTAACAACCCTAAAGACTGTTTTCAAGCCTTGAAAGCCTGTCTACTTAGCTACCCTTAATGTTTACACCCTGTTGCAAGCAGGACAACAGGTGGCTCTTGCTCGTTCTTTGGATTCCCTCTGCTTTGATGCATCTTGTCTGTTGTAAGCAAGAATGCATGACGCGAGTACTGTGATCGAACTTAGTGTTCTCTTCCTCTCTTCTAGGTTCCACCTGTTCGTCTCTTGTGATGCGGAGGCCGTTGCAGCTAGATAGAAAAATCTGCTCAGTGCTTAGGTGTCATGCCACCCGAAGGGAACACGATGGCTGGGTTACTGCCATGTTTCCTAAGCCTGCACGGGAGAAGTCGAGATGCAGAGGTCGGGTTCGACAGGCAGGCTTTCCGGTCAATAAATTCGCACTCTAACCACTGAGCCATCTCGCCCCTCGGCTGGATCTGCTGGGGTGGATACTGTAATGAGTGACTGAACGGATTAATTGATTGGATTGGATTGGATTTCCAATGATAGTCGCTTCTGCGCAGTTCGTCGGGCAACGTTTGAGAAAATCTAGAGGAAGTGAGGTCCATCGTACCCTGTTTATTGTCTGCTTACGCCCCAACTGACTAGCTCTGAATCTGCCAAAGGCAGTTTTTATGACTCTCCTGATGCCCTTTCGCAACGGTTTCAAATACTTGTTACTAGTGCCATGAACGCCCAGGAAGGTAGACTAGGTGCTGCTGAGTCCCAATTCGGTGGTCATCTTGAGTTGGATACGATACGCGAAGCGGGGGTTGCTTGCTGCAGATGTGTGTCGATCATAGACTGTTCCCTTGCAGTGCGAATTTCTCGATCAGCGGAAGTTTGACAACGTGATGCCCACCAAAAAGCCAGCGCCGAGTCGAAATAGACCACATCACCGTCAGTTATCGGTGGCGAGGGTCGATCACCAATTACCGCTCCTTCTGGAACACCAGCGTGGACTCCGACCATGCATTTATACGATAGTGCTTTTCATTGCGCTTTTCAGGTCTACGCAAATCGCGCATACCTTGATTAACCATCTTAAGTTTGTATGTTGTGAGGACGTCCTTGTTGGACACCACTGCTTGAGTGGGAACCTTTGCACCACTCCGTGAATAAAAGTTCTCGGTATATTTGCAATGTACTACTCATAAGGTTGCTAATTTCGTGCAATTTGGTTTCAAGTAGAACATAAGGTTGACGGAAACCCGGGGACTGCGCCTACCTGATGAGCCCCAAGAGGGGCGAAACCGGTCGTGGGCTGTCGATGGATTTTCAGCAACCTTATGAGTAGTACACTACAAATATACATGTATCGCGATATTTCAAATATCGTAGCGACTGAAACTTGAGGCGGCCTGGTGCAGCACATTCAGTTGCCTGAGAACATCATAAACGAGAGATTCAGCTGGGTTCCAGGTGAGACTCTCGAAAGAACCAAATTAGTTTGCAGATGAGTGTATGTTCGCTAAAAGTTCTCGGTATTCATGAAATTTTGGGGGCATACTCTTTCTCACTAGTGTTCGGAAGAATGGCTCAGTGAGCTGAGCCAGGCCTTAAACCAAAAGACGCTAATTATTTTGGAGGCATTTTAAACACGATATCCTCCATGTTAGAATCCTACTTTCTGTCTTCATATGCAATCAAGACAACGCAGCAGCGATCAAAATTGTGCTCTGTCCTTGACGCTGTCACCATTGTATTTTAGAGTGACTACCACCGTCCAGTATTCGCACTTCATGGACGAACTTTTTCACACACACAGGCAAATAAACAAGACAACTATTGCTTGAGGATTCCACTCTTATGGTTGTAGTTCATCAGTGGAGCTTGGGGAAGTTGTTGCACTCGTGTCTTTTAGGAGCCAACGGAGTTTTCAGCTTCACCGTTCATGGCTTTGATACGGATGAAAAGTGCGACTACATAATGGTGCGTAGCTAGCCAAGCTGTTGTTCAAATCAGCCTTCCAGGCGTCCTATACTAGGGACGATCGCTACACTCATTGGTGGCTTTTCGGAGCAAGTTTTCAAGGATCTCTTGGGGCAATCTCCGCAGCTCAGGTCTTACCACTCATTTCTTCGGCCTTCTGGACGCAATATACTTTCAACCAACACAGGTAATCGCTTTCACGTGGCGTTCGCTAGTACGCCGAATTGTATCGCCATTTTTCGTGTCTTGGAGCCATGCTGGCCAACAGCTGAGCAGTTGCCATTGCGTTCGGTAATCCACAGTGAAACATGGGAACGAGATTTATTAAATGGGTCATTGGAGCTGCAACGGAGCCGCTCAGGATAGCCAGCTCTTGCGTACGGGCTCAATCGATTGTGACGTCTTGCTGTATGAAAAATACTCTAGCCATCAATGAGGACTTCTACCTAGTCCGCAATTAGACAGGCAACACCCTGGAGTTTTGCTAACGAGTGTCTCCAAGACTCGTTCCGTGACGAAGTCATTCACCGGTCACCAATCTGTTTCCAACCCAGCTGGGCCTTGCTAACCACTCTCATACAGCAGCCGCTGTTTCGGCATTCAGAAAACGCCACCTAACTGACGTAGGTAGCATTTTCAGTAGATAGGTTATTGGACGTGCATGTTACCCGTTTCGAAATGCGTGCACACGCAACATCCCAGTGCTTACCCGATTAGTTAGCTTGGTGTAAGGCGCCTGGTGACTGTCATATTCAGTTTGATGATGTATCGGTCTGGCTCGTTAGTTCAGATAATCGAAACAACTTCTAGGAAGTTATACTGCGAACAAGTGGATCGTTTCGCGATATGGAATTCAACTGAACCAGAAAGAGCTAACAGTCCAATAGGATGCCAGTGAGGTGCTGAAATGTAGAAGCAAGGTTTCAGTATACTGGACAAACGTTAGCTAACTGGATTAATTCGTTAGGAGGTAAACTCCTAACACCCCTTTGAAGTACTCGATCGTAGGACTGCTGCTGAGGGTTGAGTTCCATTGGTACGACGGGCCTTCTTATTGGATCGGTCCATATTTCTAGGTGCGTAATTTTTGGAAATTACTGGTTCATTCATCAGCTCAGGATATTTTGGCTTTTGAGTTAATTCAAATGTGTTGAGAAGGACACGATCGAGTGTAGCTGTCGCCGGAAGATAGAAGAGCGTAGCTGATTGACATGATGGACCCAGGTAGAGGGGCCTACATTTACCTCACAGGCAACTTTTCCAGCACGGCGCGCAATTATACCTTGTGTCCACTTTTCCGCACCACCGCGATAGTATTTCGCTAGCACAGATTGGCTCGGTATGAATATGTTATTTGCAGCACCGTGATGTCGTTTGAACTGAATTTCCACATTCGTGTTTCTACCGGTTGACGAATATGGTGTCGGACGGATGACGTCAACGGGTAAACAGATCTTCCGTTCATGAGTATCTCCGCCGGGGACTTAGCATGTGGAGCGTTAAAAGTTAGTGCCGCCCTGCAACTCATCAGAAATGTCTTGATGATTTCCGATGCGATCCCTTTCCCTTTGAGTTTTAGGAGTGCGCGTTTGAAAGTGTCCATAAATCTTTCCACTTGGCCATTTGGTTGTGGATGTAACGATGGTGATCGCACATGTCTGCTATTTTCTTGACAGAAAGCGGAAAATGCAGCGAACTTGAATGCACTGCCGTTGTCAGAGACTCCAAAGTGACCAAGCGCGCTGTAGCTTTGAAATGGTAGCACAATCAGTAAAATGGTTCATGTTAAACACTTCTGGCCATTTGCTATAGGTGTCTACTTGGATCAGATATTGTTGGCCATTATTTGGTGCCGCAAAATCTACATGTAATCGTGACCATGGATTTTCTTGAACAACCCATGGACATAATTATATTCTCCGAGAGGCTTTAGTACAGCATCCAAGGTCACCTTGAAAGAGATAGTTGAATTTTGTGTTGAGTGTGTTAGTAAAGTGTTTTGCAATCTCTGAGGAGAAAGAAAATTTCGGAGCGCTGCACCTAGATGATAAAGGTACACTGAAAAGATCAATTTTTTTCAATCCAGTCAAGTCCAAGAATGTTCAAATTGGGACAATCAGTGAGATAACAAGTTCCTGAGAAATATAGCTTGTTTAATGGTACATTACAGGCCAACTTGCCAGTCAGTAGTAGGGTACTGCCAGATGCACTTTGGGCCTGATGATTCATGAACGACACAAAAGGTTTTCCTATCAACTCCCAACTGGAACGTGAGATCAACATAATATTTGAAGCTGTGTCGAGCTGCAGACGGATTGGAATTTTGTTGATGAGAACTGTAAGGTATTTCCTTCGGGAATCAAATTCAATTTGGAATGTTGCAAACACATCAGGACTATGGACGTTTCTTATACGACTATTTTTTTGACTGTGGTGCTGATTGAACTGTTGAAGTTCTTTGTTTTCGGGTACTGTGGATTTCTGAGTACAGCAGAAACGTGCATAATGCCACCCGCCACAGGACTAACACGATGATGGCGGTTGTTTCTCATGTAATTGGGATTAGTAGGTCGTGACGTCTGCTGTACCATTGCGGTATCGTGCTTAAGATTACGCAAACGGCATTCGGTGGTGAGTACTCTCATTATAATATCCTTCTCGTGCTCAAACTTGGAAAGCAATCGAGTGCGAATATCTGATTCTTGCAGAAACTGAAGAGCAGCCACAAATTAGACACTTGAACTGATCCTCTGTAAGTGACTGCAATTGAAATTTTTCACACCCATGGTTGACGACACCGGCAAAAGTGATGTAATTGTGGGCATCGCGCTTGGCCAATTTGAGACAACTGTATCAAACATTAAAAAGTGAATGTTTCTCACCGAAAACTTCACTCAGTTGTTCCACTGTTTGTGCAAAGTTCAGATTCTTTGGGTGTTTGGGAAGAATGAATTTCAGGAATCGACCGTGCTCGAGGGTTCCGAATTTTCGAACCAATAGATGGGATTTCCACGCATCATCTTTGTCGGTAAACTCAATCTCGAATATATCTTCCCAGCGAATGTACCATGAATCGCATGTGAGACCAGGTGCTGGTTCTTAGAGAAATTCGGTAATAGTTGCTGCGATGGAATCGGCAAAGGATAAGAAAGTGCCGCTTTGAGATGGAAACGATATCTGATAACTTGAGTAAGAGACTAAATAAGTCACAATTGCGCTTGTTACTGTTAAGGGATTGCTTTCAAGTCCTCGGCCGAAATTGACATGTTTATGTTCGCTTTGTGTTCCCGTCTCCAGTTTTATATCCACTTTGGTAATGTATCAGTCTGAATTGTTAGTTTAGACAAGAGACGACTTCTAGGAAGTTATACTGCAAACAAGTGGATCGTTTCGCGATATGGAATTCAACTGAACCAGAATATATGAAGGGTTAACAGTCCAATAGGATACCAGTGAGATGCTGAAACAAGGTTTCAGTATACTGGACAAATCGTTAGCAAATTGGATTTGTTCGTTTGTAGGTAGTCCTCCTAACAGTGGCGACTGACGGACGAAAACTGGGAAACGGTATGCATGTCGTTGAGTCGAATTTTTCGAACTCTGACGGCCATTGTAGGCTCTTTTTCTGGTGAGTAACCGGTCTTTTCGGCACCGTGATTGATAAAGGGCCACATACGCTGAGCGTGATTAATATGTCCCGTAGGCTAATCAACCCGTCTCATGTAAACAAGCAAGAATGTCACCTGGCCGCAATATTAAGGTCGTCGCAAGTTCAGTACTTTCGTATAGCTCGTTGCGCTGCGACACAGGCAGACCGCCAAGCGCCTCAGGGGATCATGGAAATCACTGCCCAGCAAGAGTCAATATCAGAAAGTGAATTGACCGGAAGGGTTAATCATTTTTCACCATATTTCGATCTCTCATCATTGGGATCTATAAGCTCGTGCATGGCTAGACAAAGTGTGCGCGACTTTCGTACCTCCGAACAATACATGACAAACCATCAACTTACTAGTGAGCCATCAGATTCCATGTGCCACGTAACGCGTGCCAGTCAGTAATTGATCCACATCAAAGAAAGCTGATGAGAATGGGATCGATTCGCTGCTTAGGTTGGCAGTTTCTTTTGTTTCGGAAGTTACTGCAGTGCAGCATGCCTGTGATCAGCTGATAACCGCATCAGGCGTTTGTATGAGTGTGGATTCCGGTCCAAATCGATCACTTTATTGAGTTGCAGAAAGATTAAGCCCACATATCCACATAAGCCACAAAAATAGCATTGCTCTTCATGAGGAGCCCAAGTATCATGACAGCTTACTGAGTGTCAGTTTTTCTTTGGCGTAACCATATGCGCATGAACGGGTCAGAATTGCCATCTTGTTATTTAGGTGCTGTGGCAGATATGACCAGTCATGGCCCCAAGATGGCTACTACTATTATCCACGCAAACAGATTTATCATCCCGACAGTTGAGGACCATAATACTCCAGGAATAAGCAGCCGTGGTCGCCTCTAGACTACCATAGAACAGTGACCGGAAGCGATGAGCCAACGAGGAGGCCCGTCGGGTTGTTATACACTGGATCCTCATTGAAATAGTACACAGTGGAAAGTGAATCAAGCCTACGAGCCACAGTGGTCTGTTTATATTGTCCAAAAGTGTGAACACTAGTAAGTCAGATGCATTGGTTGTCAAAATTTTCACCTGTCTATAGTTCATATGGTTGAATGACGCGTAGGCGCGGTGGCCAACAGAGATTGTGGAGGATGACAGAGCTACCTGTTATAACGGATGAGCCTTTCGGTGTGGACTGCTCTTCAAGTTACTTCCTCCAAACACTTTGTGCAGTATACTGGTATGGGGACCTGAAGCGTGAAAAGCTGCCTGTGCAACAAAGTACGTGCTCTATGGAAGAAGACGAATAAGCTAGACCTCTGTACTTCGGTAGGGCTTTTCTTTTGTGCAATGCCACCTGGTAGATACCCTTTGGAGCAATTTCACGTAGCAATGATAGAAACGCTGTTCATGAGCCAAAATATACGCCCATGCCGATTACCTTAGGACATTGGACATTCAACTGTCAATACTTCTGTTCATTGAGAAGAGCCATCACGCGTATTTTTATCGGGCCGGCTTACCGGATTAGATAAAAATTGTCTCCAATCGTTCCACTTTGTAGGTAACTCTTTAGAGTGCACCCTCGCATCATTTTTTGTAGTATCAGTGTTTACATTGCAGTTCCCAGGTAAATAACTACTACGGACACTTGTCTCCCAACATTTCTGTGAGAATAATTTTCATAGACATCATCAATATTCTCATCAGTAGCACCATTTTCGGCACAACTGCCTCACTAGCGTACCATCGCAATCCGCCTAAGAAGTTTTGAGGCGAAGAGAATACAACGCTCGCGGGAATGAAGTCTGGACTGGCGTGCCAAAAGTCAGAGAGCTAAGACTTGACTGACGGAAGTCGTATCGGTAGGTATGAAAAAGTATGCGGTCTCGACATCTATGTCAACCTTAGCGTATAGGTAGGACCAGAAGCGCCATCAGAACAGTTACTTTTCGCACATTTTATAGTGTTGTATTTGGAAATTAGCTCACTGAGGGAAGCAAAAGCTTTCTTAAGTAGGAGTTCAAATTACCGGGTCAGGATTGAATGGTACCGTAGAACAATACCTTGGAGATGCCTGAGTGGCTTAGCAAGGCTATCAGACGAATCATGAGTGGGTGAAGAAAGTGGCAGGATGCACTGGTGCTATATAGGGAGAGGGTGGGAAAATAGTGTCGACATTTTTACATTGTGGGCGAGAAAAAAACACTCACTAGGCCGCCCAAGGGTCCACGGAGATAACCGGTGGTTGGTAAGCAGTCCGTCTGCGCTGGTGAAAGAGCTATAGCAATGTTTCGGACAGCCCTTTCTTTTGCTCCTTCATCATGGACCGCAGTTGGAGTTCTTCAGTCGTTCAAGACCAGTCAATCACAAATGATTAACTTTTCAACTGAGGATGACTGGCTGAATAAGTCACACTAGACTAATTACTAAGCGAAGAAAGATAAGTCCTTTGTCGATGTTTTTGGAGAGCTTGGAATCTGCAACGATGGCTTTAGGCCTTGCGACACTGCGGTTGCAGCTGGAACCAATGTGCCTACGGTACACGGTTTATAGGTAATAAATTGATTGGTACGATTTCCAGGCTGGTCGGGTGAGAAACTATTAAGACTGACTTCGTCGAGCTTTCTTGCAATTACGAGAAAAACAGCGATGCTGGGTACATAAATGGGAGAGAGTTTTTTGACACGTTCGAAGAAACCTGTAAAGCCATAAACAAATTACAGGAGTGAATCATTCTTGTGCAGCCTACGAACGAACTAAATGAAACAGGTATAGCTACCATGACTGGAAATTCCATCTGAGGTTCATTAACCTTCACTGAACTTGATGCGTGACCACATTTCTCATACTGTGGGCAGACTAAAAAATACGTAAAACAAAGATAGGATCAGCCAACTAAGCGCGATTTTTTCCGCTGAAGGTAGGAAAACATTTGAGCTGCAGCTCAGTATTGGGTAGGAAAGGTCACAGCAATCTAATACACATCTTAGTTTTGTCACACATTCTTTGTCCCCTGTTGGTTTCTTCCACATGATCACTGAGAATCAGTCAGGTACTTTGGGGTAACCACCCAACTGTCTTCGTATGGAAGACACTGTTTATATTGTGTGAACTTACGTTCGCTTCAAGAGGAATTGCTCTTTTCAGCCTACTATCGGGATGTTAGAATCGACTGGCGAAAGTGGATGGTGTTAGGGCTCTCCTGGCAAATCACATTATCGATGGGACTCAAAATATAGGTTACATTATGCACATCTTTGAGGCTATCGCTTGGCAGTTGCGGCCCCTTATTAGTTTGCTCACTAGTGTATGCTAATTATGTGACTAGGTACTAGTTGCTGTTGCTTTTGACAAACTATCTCCTAAATGCTTCGGGGAAACTGCTGTAACCGACCACCCTTGTTAGGGAAATTTTCAGTTAGAGTTGTGTCGTCAACAGTGACCGAGAAAAGGACCCCAGTGACGATGCTGGATGATTTCTCCAGAGGTTGGAAATCACCCTATGGTCATACTAATTATTTCTGTAGTTTATATTCGGAATACTGAAATTCAGTCATGCATTCGTTGTCTCAATTTCATACTTCTAGTCCATGTTCACGACCTAATTTCTCACTACTTACTGTCACTAACTCGACTTTGATAAAACCCGACTCCTAACTCACAGGACCTGATCAGTTCCTAGGGCTCAAGATAGCTCAGTGGTTAGGGCGCCGGCCTATGAACCGGAAGGTCCATGAGCTGAACCAAACCTCAGCATTTTGACTGCTTATGTCTAGGCCCGGGCAACCTGGCAGTATCCAAGCCCTCGTGTTTCCTTCCGTTTGCATGGCAGTTAGGCACCGAAAGGGTGCTGTAGATGAACGATTTTTTTCGAACGAGCTGTTCCTTCGGCCGATGAATGCATGGCTACCACGGCTGCACTGGTTCAGCTCACTTGTTACCGACACATCAATCAGTAACCCCAACGGAATCATAAAAATTGGATCGTTCATCTGATTTTTACACATTCCACTTCTTTAGCTCATCTAAACCAGGTCTTGCTGCAACCTGCCCTGTATGTGAGAAGGAACATTCGTTTGCGCTTGATTTTAACTGCATTTAAGTTGAAGTCGACTGCAGGAACGGAAATAAGTCGGTCTAGCGTGCGAACTGAAGACTGGATGAAATAATCCATGCGGTGCATACGTAGATAAAGAGTGCAAGAATAATCTGTAAGTGTGTGCGCACCTAGCTGGGTGGGTTAAACCGGAGGTAAGAATTTTACTAACCGTTAGTGTAGAATGAATTTGATCACTGTTGTAATAGATGCCTCGATGTGGTGCCCTCGGGGTACTGCAAGCCCTTAATACAAGCTAAGGTCTTTCGGGGGCCTTCTAATGATTCATTCCGCCAACTTTTATTATAATCATCTTGGAATAGAACAGCTGCTGGATATGTCGTTGACAACCGAATTCGGTCCACCTCAATGCAAGTCCCCTTAATGCAACGAGCTGCCACTTGTGATTTTAGCATGGCAGTCTGATAGCGGCCAGATGTACCAACAACTACATTTGCCAATTGTCTGGACATCTTTCACTTTTTCTAACAGAAGGAAACAAATTGTTAGACCTTGTGGAGGTCATCATAAAATGTTTTCGCAACAGCTTCTCCAGTCGGCACGAGCTAAACACACGTCTAAGGGAAAATTGAGATTCCCAATTCGGTTGATGATGAAATCGACTAATCTTCATTTATTATACATGTTTTGGAAGACAAAACTGCCTCTTGATTCTCTTCCCTTAAGTGAGCTGCCATGCCCCTCATTCTATTTCCTGGAATGGGATGTAAGGCAAATCAAAGTGAATCCGTCTGTTTCCAACGGGCACTGAAAGCCACCACAAACTCTTGAAACCATGTCTCGCTAAATCTGTGGGATCACATATAACCTAAATGACTAACAGTTATACACATAAGCATACTGGCTCCTTCGTTTTGGACTTTCAGGACCAACGTAAGCGAGTCAACTATACAATCTATGCTTGTCGCAACAGATCAGGCAATTTCAATTTGGGTGATTCATCGGCCTTTCAACAAGACTGGTCAGATTGACCACACCCAACACTATCTTGACTTCATGTGAATTCTGAATCTATAACGAGAGCCATCAACTGATATTGCAGCGACCCGAGTAAACCTAAAGTCACGTCAGCCGTAATGATCCATCCTAACAGTATAGGTATGCATCCGTGTGCAGTTTATCCTGGTTGCTAGTTGGTTGTGTTTCGTAAGCTAATTGGTTTGAATCGCACTACAGATACTAGCTCCTTATGATTCTCTGTAAGAATACAGTGGATGTACAGTGTCTTCTGATCTATTACTATGAGTGGTTTTCGCCTGCACGTCTAACTGACGGCTAGTTGTATAAGGCAGATGTTGTTTTTTCCGATGCATTTAATGGCTTTCTAATATTAGTACTGGACCCGACTCCGGGGGCAGTAGTCTCCTAATTTTAGTGATGTCGACTGGGTCAATGTGACATTCTCAGCGTACACCTTCAACTTAGCAGAAAAAGAGTCTTGTGCCAAAAATCCATAGGATTCGGATGACGGTGATGGCATAATGTGAATCTGGTTGGACAGTCTCAGCTCTGTGGCCGTGGATTTCTTTCAAAGTAAAAGCTCGGAGCAGTTTAATTTTTAATTAAATGATCACACTCATCTAACAAACCTCTAGGGAGATTTGAGCGAGCAATTTACGCCGGCGCTCCGTCTGAGAGGTATTCACTGGAGTAGGGGTGTGGGCGCTCAACAACAGATCGTGTTGTTGAAGGAGGATGCAGGGCACTTACATTTTGTGATAACTAAAAGCCTTGAGGCTGTGGGCCCGAACGAATCAAGTAATTAGTATGTTCACTTGTGTTGATGATCCTCAAAAGGGATGAAGCAGACTACTCATGAGGTTGCTGAAGGCGTTTCCACAGCCGGTTTCGCCCTCCTTGGGGCTCATCAGTTTGTCGCAGTCCACGAGTTTCCATCAAGTTTATGTTCTACTTGAACCCAAATAACGAAATACCCACATTTGCATATCAATTTGGTTTTGACGGGAGGCTCAACTGGAGCCCAGCTAAATCTCTCGTTTATGATGCTTTCAAGCAACTGAATGTGCTGCATGATATTTGGGGTACCTCGATATAGTGTATAAAACTTTCTTGAGTAAATGTATTGACAAGTAAAGGTTTCCCGAACTCGGTCCTCTAGCATAGAACTCCATTGCAACCGGAACACTCCGAATACCAAGCTAAACTCAAAAGATATTGAAAAGTCTTTCAGTCCTCACTGGTCTATAGCGTTCTAGATACTTCTCATCAAATGTGTTAGGAGTCACCACCTGACTTTTGTAGTTACTCGTGATTTTCGCCGACGATTTCTTGATACCGTCGAAGATGCGGTAACGTTCACAGCCTCACACGATTCCTCAGACATTCATCATGGAACTCAGGTCCGGATTATGAGGATGCTTAGTAATGTGAACCGTCCGGAATAAACTTGTTCTCGTCAGGGCATATCAATTTTTCTTGCTTGTTCTTTAGAGTGATATGGTTCTATGCCTACTTCGGTTTTCAATACAGGTCTTGCGTTTCAGCATGCAAGTTTCATGTCTTCTAAGTGAGGGAAAATGAACATGGTTGTTGAACCCATCTGACTCCAGTATTGAGAATCAAAGCACTTCGCATCCCATGTGCTCTTTATCGGGTTAGATGCAGTAAGTCCTCCCCAGATTTTCCTTGGTTTTCCCCTGACGGACTGCCTATAAAGTATCTATCTATTCACTTCTGTTGTGACTTGTCTGCTGCTCACGCTGCTGCACGCAAATCTTTTGTTTTAATCAAGTTTTGACAATGCATAGCCCCTTGTGATTTCTTAAATAATTAAAGTCACCTAGTGTTTTCTGTAAACTCTGGGGCATGTACTTCTATTGACAAGTTTTCACAATCAACACTCATCAGTCAATTCAGCTCTACGCACCACTTGTAAGAAGATATCGCATTTGCAGTATCGCTAAACTGTTTTGTCCTTCATCGCTTTCTGGGTGCTCACAGCAATCAGTTTGTTGTTTCTGCATTTTTCCAGAGTCTGTATAGGGTTCGGCAGATTCCTCCCGCTTTTCGGGATCCTCAGTTGAGGGAGAGCGAAAATACGTAAAACCCGTACACGTGAACTAACGATATTATCCATACTCATAAAAACTCTATTGTGCATCATCCAGAAAGGTTTGGTGTAATTTCATGCTTGATGACATTTCCACCAGTGACATCGTCAAGACGAGCTATTTAATTCAGAAAACTCGGGACTTCTTAAAGTCATGGTAGTGACATGCACAACAATCCACCAACAGACTGACACAGAACACCGGATTTGGTTTCCTTCGGGGATAATTTGTCACACGGCACTCACACTTAATTCCGACTGACTGAAAATACTGCTATTTGCTGTCCAAAGTGTGGGTTTTGTACACGAATCGCTTCTGTTCGATGAATGAATGCAGGATGCTTTCTAGCAATGTAACGGTCAAGTGATTTCGTGTGCAGATGATCGCCACATCATTATCGACCGGTTAATATCGTTAATATATAGTCCAAAGCATTGCATTGGTTCTGGAATCGTTGTTCAGACCAAATTTGTGCTTCAAAGAGAACAGGCCCTGTATCGTCGGAGGGGAAGTGCTTCCTCACCGTGTAACCCCGATGTGGGACGGTTTCGAAATATATCCCCCCCATTACTCATCAGAAGGACGAGGAATCCACGGAGTTTCAAGGGCAATCAAAATCTCAAATGTACCGTTGTTTATTCGTCTCAGGAAAAGCTTGGTAAAAATAACAATAGTTGGTATTCGACTGCGAAATGTGAGCAGTAATTGGCCACAAAAACTAGCTCTATTGCGTCTTGACAACAATGCTACTTATGCTAATATTACTGAGGACAATACCAACCTGATTCTTTCTATTCGAACATCAGAACCATCTAACCAGCTGATGATAGACTCAACAGGTAATTTCTATAGAAGAAAATGTCTGTAGCTCAGGTAGCGTAGATGGTGGTCGTTGGCTTGTTCGCTGAGCTGGGCAATTTGATTGCAAACGTTTCATCACCAATCGAGGTGACATAATCAGTGCGTCATTGAGGAGCGTAGTGGTGGGTTAGTGGTTGTGCACAACTACTAAGCCAAGGACTCAACAGGTATTTTAAAATCGTATGGAGAAAGAAGTCAGTGTATTGGGTGTTATGGAATAAGGATGACCGGAGCGAACTTTTACAGGAAGGCTGTCCATCGTTCACTTGGTACTGGGTGCAGCAGTTTGAAGCAAACAGGCCCAAGGCCTGTGGCCATGCACCAAAAGTTTGATTTAGCCCTACTTTTACTATTCTAAACCTTCCAATACTACGTAATATGGAACACGCCTGCAGTTCCAAAACTAACTGGGGACCAGAGCAAACATCTGTTATCTTTTCTACCACGCTAATACAGAAACTTGCCATATATTTACATTTTCCAAAGAGAATAACATCATTTAGGATGGTGACCTTAGTGACGTGCTGGAGAAAATCAATCAGCGCTTCCAACTCTTAGACAATAAAGCTCCCAGAAGATGATTTGAAGTGGGATTATTACTGGGCGTGTTGCAAGCACAACACCGTTTGTATATTAAATGTTCCGAAGTTTGAGAAAAACGCTTCTGCAAGAATATTTGAAGTGGCGGTTTTGAATGGCAAATGTAATGAGTAACCTAACTACAAACAAGAATCTTGCGGGAGTTGCAAGCAGAAGCATTTCGAAAACACTGACGGTGCTGAATTATTTATGTCCTTCGGAATCTCAATAAAAGGAAAACGTACACCAAGGAAGAATTATTTAAAAACAGCAGCACTTTTCGTACGGGTTCCGTCAGTGTCGTTTTGTAGCAAAAATCACCATCGTCCCGATGGTCTTCTCGGTTGTGTTGACATATAATACCGAAGCGCATTGAGTC